CTGCACCTCCAGCAGGAGCCAAAAAAAAGGAGAGAGTGATGAGGGAAAATCACTTAAGAGTTTAAACACCTCTACTCTGGGGAGGCTTGCCAGTACTAGGTCACATTGGATTTTCCAGGGAGTAACAGGAAAAGAAAGAGCTTTGGGTATAAAACAGTCATTTATAGTTGCTAAGGCCTTCTTTTTCCTCCAGCAAATGGATCGAACCTTCTGTCCAAAGAGGTCTCTGACTCCTGAAGAAGGGTTGGAAAGATTATCACCCAACAAGAGCATGATGGGTGGCCTCTGGTAAGCTTTTAGTATGGGTATAGGAAGGTATTGTTTTCAATATATTATCTGTGTAATATTTTACCTTAAAATAAATGCATGCACGCACACCAGCAGTATAATAACTGCTGCAGCTTTGCACCACCATAACACACACACACAAAAGGGTCCCCACTCCTGCATTACTGAACCTGGCACACCTGGCGCACATGCTCTCCCTAGTCCAGCCTCTGTGTGCCAGCTTGGTGTGCAAAACCCTGCTGCCTTGGGCCCAGGACAGCTCCTGCCCCTCTGGCCTGCACAGAGGCATGGGTGCTGGAGGTGCTGCTGCATCTAGGGTTGAGCTTTTTGTTCAGGAAATAAATGGAGAAAATCCTGGACATATAAATGTCTGGTATTTTGTAATTAAGTTGGTGCTGGAGTCTGCAGGAGAGCCCAGGAAGCAACATCTCCCCCAGCCTGGGCACCCCTGTTCTGTAAAGTGGCCACATGTTCGTCTCCCTGTTGCTCCCCAGCCTGAGATCGCCTGCAACCATGCCCACTGCCGCAGGACACTGCCTGCTTCTCCATGCTGCTCCTGCAACACGAGCCTAGTGGGGTTCCTGCACTGTAACCATTAGAACCAGCAGCCTCTCCGCTGGCTTCTCAGTCCCTCCCTCCTGCCTGCCTCCCTTCTCTGCACATGCCCCGCTCGCAGCAGAGAAGCCACTGAGACAGGCTGGCTGGGCTCTGCTTTTCCCCCTCCCTCTTTCCCAGCCTGCCTGGTGTTGGGGCCCTGGCAGGTCTCTTCTGTCTGATTACTAAGCTAACCTCCAGGCCTGGCTCCCACTACTGAGATAGCTCACTGAAAGCCCCACAGCAAGAGGGGGAGGGCTCCCTTCTTTCCCCAGGTAGGTACCCCTTTGATACAAGAGCTAGCTAGCCTAGCTGGGGGAAGGCTGGGAGAGGATCCCTGCCTGAAATCCCAGCCCTTAGAGGAGGAGGATTCCCTGGGATTCTTGTGCAAAACCCCCATCTTGCGCAAGAGCCATTCTGCCGCTTATTTTCAGGCAGAACAGCTCTTGCGCAAGAGCGGGGGTTTGTGGAAGAAGGAGCATTGTAGACTGCTCCTTCTTGCACAAAAGCCCATTGCACAAAAATGGTGGCTCATTAGGTATGCAAATGAGGCACAGCACTATTCCTTGCTGTGCCTCATTTGCATATGTTCTTGTGTAAGAATGCGCAATGTAGACGTAGCTTAAGGATACGCTTACGCTACAGAGGAAGATCAAAGCTACCACTGTCGATTTTCCAGGGTTCAAATTAGCAATCTAATTAAGGCAGCTAATTCGAAGTGAGAGGGGCAATACAGTCAATGCCTATAACCTTGCTTTCAAGAGGAGTAAGGGAAGTTCAAACAAGAGTGTTCTTCGGCCAACTTTCTGCAGTGTAAGCAGCACCATAAGCCGAGTTAAGCTACTTTGACTTCAGCTACACAATTAGGCTATTTCTACATTGGCAAGATTTTGCGCAAATACTTTTAACGCAAGAGTTTTTGCGTTAAAGCATTTGCGCAAGAGAATGTCTACACTGGCATATGCTTTTGTGCAAGAGATGTGCTTCTGCGCAAAAGCATCCGTGCCAGTGTAGACGCTCTCTTGTGCAAGAAAGCTCCGATGGCCATTTTAGCCATCGGACTTTCTTGCGCAAGAAATTCATGTTGCCTGTCTACACTGGCCTTTTGTGGAAGAACACTTGCGCAAGAGGGTTTATTCCTGAGTGGGAGCGTCCTAGTTCTTGCGCAAGAAGCACTGATTTCTTACATTAGAACGTCAGTGTTCTTGCACAAGAACTCGCGGCCAGTGTAGACTGGTGGCAAGTTTTTGCTCAAAAGCAGCTGCTAATCTTGCCAGTGTAGACGTAGCCTTAGCATAGCTGAAGTTGCATATCTTAATTTGACTTTTTCCTGTAATGTAGAGGTACCCACAAGAGCTACAGATTACTCATTGTTTTCAAAACAGCATGGTTCTGGTTCAGCAAAGCACTTAAATATGTGCTTATTTTTAAGTTTCTGAGTGACTTCATTGTTTTGTCACCTGTACCCCGACTTGATTTTAAATTTAATAGGGTTTCACTAACAGTACAGACATGTATGGCATGCCATATTTGGACACACAATACCATGAAATGCTTCACGTATCCCTTGGGTTATGATTTTGATTCCTTGCTTTTTTCAGACATGTTCGAAAAAACCGTTCATTTACATTAACTGCATGTCTCTACTGGTTCCACTCCATTTCATCTGCCATGTGTGCTTTCTTCCTACACTAACTACATGTCTATCGCAGTGCTCTCAAGAGGTATTTTAGTGATAGTTCATCCTTTTTCTCCATGGGAATTATTTCTTTGCTCTTTCTTGCACTCTGCTGTCACCTGCCACTTTTTTGCTGTGTGACTTGTACTTTCTGCCACTTAGGTATTTTTTACAACAACTGTCAGCTCAGACGTTAACTACAACATTGCAATGAAATTTCCTTTGTAAAATTGAAACTTGTAGGTGGTCTCTTCTTTTGCCTCCTTTCTTCCCCCTGAGAGCCCAGCTGAAGGCCAGATACTCACAACCCCTGCCCTCCTGAGCCCAGATATGGTGCTCCTCTGCCAATCTAGATATCTGCACCCTTCCCCTCCAAAGCCCAGCCATGGGGCACTTCCAGTCAGGGGCGGATGAGAGTGCCGCGGGGCCCCGGGTAGCAAAATTTTGCGGGGCCCCCCCCTTTGACACAGCGCATACGCCGTGGTGCCAAGACGCATGTGCGGGGCCTCAGGAAGCGCGGGGCCCGGGGCAGCCGCCCCGCTCGCCCTGCCCTAAATCCGACGCTGCTTCCAGTCCAGATACCTGCATGCTTTCCTCCCAAGCACATCTTCAGGCCCCCCTTGCCCAGATACGTGCACCCCCTTCCCTTCCTCCAGAGCCCAGCTGTGGGACCTCCCTTTCCCAGATACCCACTACCCTCTAGACTCAGGTCTAGACACCCTCTTCTTCCCTCCCCTTGGAGCCCAGGGGTTCAGAGAGAGAAACTGTCTGATGCTTGGTTGTAGTAGGCTTGCATGAGTTTTTCTGTGTGCCACTGGCTCCTTCCCTGGGACATACTAGGAACTGCAGCTGCCAGGAACTTCCTAACTCTGTTTCTCAACCTTTTATTTATAAAGTACCCCTTTTTTAAAAAAAAGTACCCCCAGTAGCTACAGTTTTCAGAGACACAATTTTTTTCTACCATTGCAACACATTTGTTTAAACATCTTAATTGTAGCCGGGCTGGCGATGAAATTTTAGGGGTAAAAAGTACAAAAACAATAAAATGCTGTAAAAAGTAAATTAGCAGTTTTCTCCAATTTTCAGGGCTGTGTTTAGACTGCATCCCTTTTCCGTAAAAGGGATGCAAATTAGACACATCGCAATTGCAAATGAAGCGGGGATTTAAATCCCCCCCACTTCATTTGCATAAACATGGCTGCCGCTTTTTTCCGGCTTGGAACTTTGCCAGAAAAAAGCTCCAGTCTAGATGGGGATCTTTCGGAAAATAAAGCCTTTTTCCGAAAGATCCCTTATTCCTTTTTTTAAGTGATTTAAATCCCCCCCACTTCATTTGCATAAACATGGCTGCCGCTTTTTTCCGGCTTGGAACTTTGCCAGAAAAAAGCGCCAGTTTAGATGGGGATCTTTCAGAAAATAAAGCCTTTTTCCGAAAGATCCCTTATTCCTTTTTTTAAGTGGGGGGGATTTAAATCCCCGCTTCATTTGCAATTGCGATGTGTCTAATTTGCATCCCTTTTATGGAAAAGGGATGCAGTCTAGACACAGCCCAGGGCTACGTCTACACTGGCCCCTTTTCCGGAAGGGGCATGTAAGTTTCACTAGTCGTCGTAGGGAAATCCGCGGGGGATTTAAATATCCCCCGCGGCATTTCGGAGGCTCTTATTCCTACTTTCAAGTAGGAATAAGAGCCTCCGGAAAAGGGCACTTTTTCCGGAGGATCGGGGCCAGTCTAGACGCTCTTTTCCGGCTTTTTTAAAAGCCGGAAAAAAGCGGCGGACATTTTTATTTAAATGCCGCGGGGGATGTTTAAATCCCCCGCGGATTTCCCTACGACGACTAGTGAAACTTACATGCCCCTTCCGGAAAAGGGGCCAGTGTAGACGTAGCCCAGTTGTGTTGATGTACCCCTCAGACTTATCCAAAGTACCCTTAAGGATATTCATACCACTGGTTGAGAAACACTGTTCTAACTCAGTGTTTCTTAAACTTTTTGAGACCATGGAACACCAAACAATAATATTTTTTTATGCGGAACACCTATGAAAATTTTATTTAAAAAAATTGTCAGACAGAAAAAGACAAAAACAAAAAAGAGGTCATGGCACACCTGCATGTTGTTCACGGAATACCAGTGTTCTGCAGAACATAGTTTAAGAAACACTGCTCTAACTCACTCCCCCACCTAGCCAGCAGAGTCTTTTATGTGTGAACTGAGATCTGTTGGTCCAGCAGCTCCTAATTGTGGCCAGAAGCACTGTGGCCCATTTCTGCAGGGGAAAGGAAATTCTGCATACACAACTTTAATTTCTGCAGAATTCTGCATTGCACACTGGCACAGAATTGCCGTAGAAGTAAGTGTAGAACTTCTGTGAGAACTTTTTTCACTCTTCTGCTTGGCAACTTACTGTTTAGTTCCAAGAACTAGAGTACCTATTCTTACGGTGAAGGTAGTGGAGACCTTTTAAGAATACCACTTGCATGTGGTGCATATTGATGGTTTCCTTAGACAATGCTCTTCAGATATAATTTTAATAGCTAATACATTTTTGTCAGAGAGGATTTCTCAGTAGTCAGATGGGATCTGAAATTCAGAGGCAGGCAAGGAAATCTTCACGATCATCTTTTCAGTTTAATGGCGGGATTTTAACAGAGGATCCCTCCCAGCCTTAAAACCCTTTCCAGTACATCATTCCATAATCAGAAGCAAGGAGTTATTCAGATCATGTCATAACTTGAAATTTAACATTGAAAAGAGGGGAAATACATTTTTGGTAGAGGTGGGTAAAGTACAAAATAAAATGCCCTCTGGTTAACCTACATTTAGCCATTTTGAAGGGCATTTTTGGAACTTATCTTCATACTCTGTTCTAGCTTGGTAAATTTCCATTATTTCAGAAAATTAATCTTGTTTAGAAAACATTGTATATTGTAAATAGCACAACAAACAACATGAAACAGGATTGATCTATTAAACATAATCAGGAAGCAGCTTGTCATGACGAACTGAACCTAGGTTTCGAGTTTCACTTTTGCTTTTTAAAAGCCATTTAAATGTTAGTGAAGCAAACACTCTTGGTAATAGATAAGCAGGTAAGCAAAGCATAAATTTACTTTGTTAAAGTAATTGGCTTTTTAATTGGGTGTTGTTTAAAACATAAAAGTAAAGTTTCCTTTAGTCACCAGTAGTAAATAATTCCTTAAAAGAGAAGTAGAAATTGATGTTCATTATGCTGAAGAAAATGGGAGAGGACACACTGAAATGCTGGTGCAGTATTTGAACGAATATGAAATATTTACTCAAAGTGTCTTTACTATTTTGTGGGAAGTGGAAATATCCATGATATTGTTCTTCTGCCAAATAACTAGGTATAGTAGTATGTCTGACTTGATCTAATTACGGGAAGGATCTGTTCTCGTATTTTGAAGGTTTACTATACTGGCAATTAGCACAAGGCTGAGATATTAAATGTCAAAATGTCCTGTGCATGCACCTTTCATCCATATGGAGGAAAAAGTTTTATTATACTGTTTTACAACACATTTTTAAGCACAATGAAATTATAGTTTTAATATATCTATGATGTTGAGTCTGAATGTAATGATATAATCTTTCTTTACCACAGTGATATCAGATGAAAGAATGAGGAAGGAAGAGATTCTTAAATATTCTTAAAAGCAAGAAAGACTCTTTACAATCAGACATGAATCGGGGTTTGTATTTCTTTTGTCTTACACTTTGAGGATTAGTAGAAGAAACTGCCACTCATTTAAAAATATTAACATATTTAACAATTGTCCTCTCTTTTGTACTGTGGAAGAAAACATTGTCCTCACTCTGCGTTTGTAAGCAACAAGGAGCCAGAGGTAGTTTTATTACGAGCTGCAGCAAGGGAAAAACTGGTTTGAACGGGGGGAGGGGGGGAAGAG